CACGTATTTTTTTATTTTGTCGTATAATAAAATAATACTTAGATAAAATTAATCAAAGGGGAGCTAAAACGTCATTTCTACGTATAAAATTTACATAGAAATGACATCACGCGACATTTCAAATCAATATATCGTCGAAAGTATTTGTTTCTTTAAGAAAATAAAAAATATGTGTCTAATGTTTTAAAATAATTTATCAGAAGTACATAAATAAAAAATTAGGCATCTACAATCTACCTATTTGCATGCTGTTTATGAATATGAGCCCCAGAGTGTCCTGAAACTAGTAGAGCGTCTTATTACAGAATGATAAATGATTATCGGTATATATTCCTGGAATCTAGTCTAGATGTCTACTTAATGCGACATATCTATTTGTCTATTTGCAAAGCATATCATCTCTTTTCCGCTCAAATAGCCAGTCCTACTGAGTTCATATTTCTACAGCTCCACCTCATTCCAGTATAAAAACATCTAGTTATAACAAAGTTTAAAAAAACAATATTTCGATAAATCCAATGACACATATACAAATATTTAGTATGCTCGTAACATTAACATGTAAACAAGAGATATCAGATAAACGGAACTTAAGAATTTTCCAGTGATATGTTCTGTCCACTGCTTAGTTTGTTTTTGATAGTAACACTATCATACCTTCTTGAAACGTAATTACCGTGTGAGGACAGGTAGCTGGTAGATTTCCATTTAAACCGTATCTGTTTAGCAGGTAATTATAATCCAACCTGATCTATTTATTTAGGTCAACCGATGGCCGCGCTTGGAAATTTTTCAAAGCCAGGAACAAGTTTAGAAGCCAGGTTGAAAATTTTAACTTTTGCAATTTTTTGATTTTGTTGACAAAATGATAGATAGAGGTATATATTTGTCTGGTCTCTCAGGCCTTGTCTTGCACATGCTGAACTGGTCCCATTTTACGGCAGACTTGGGACATGAACAGGTATCCATCAGTTTTACTAATAGAATGATTTATTTGTACGTGTCACTTGTTTTTTGGCGTGAAATATATTTTTTTCTTAATTTCTTTAATTTAAAAATAAGTGAAGAATTACTAATTTACTTCTGGATGTTTCGTTCGCCTTGCACCCACTGAGGTCGCGTGTAGACTGATGCTGGTGGTAGTTGTAGAGACTTCACGTCTACCCTTATTTATGTTATTAAAATAAATAAATAATAGAAATATTGGATTGTTTTACTTACTGCGCATTTTTCAGAGACTCCTCTATAATAGACATAAGTAAATTATGGATGGATTTTTACGAATCACAATGTTAAAAAAACCGAAATTCCAAAAATTGACAATGAAAAAAAATTTAAGTTTTGGAGAGCCATGCGACGATACCACGGCCTCAAAGAAAACCGACGTGAAACAACGCTTGCATTGTGTTTCGTCGTGTGAGTGATTTTATCGGAGGCCTAATTACCCCCTTCCCTAGTTCCCGTCTCCCGAATCCCCGAATCCTCCACAATCCTCAAATTCCCAATTCCCAAAAGGCCGGTAATGCACTTGTAACGCCTTGGTGTTTCGAGTGTCCATGGGCGGCGCCAATTGCTTATCATCAGGTAATCCGTCTGCTCGTTTACCGTCTTACGCTATAAAAAATAGCTAACATTTTTGAAGGCATAATCTAGTTTTTCTCTACCAAAAATATAGCTTAGAACGCATGTCTTGTCTTGGAACTAACAACTTAACAAGAGTAAAGACAATTCTTTTCAAATCCGTAGAAAATATAACGAGCTCAAGTTGGCAAGAACAAAAGGGGTTATTAGTAGCAGAATGTAGTTTGTAGCTAACAGTGCAAGCTTATGCATCCCTAGTCGATAATTAGGATAATAGGAATAGCAAATAGAAAACAAACAAAGTGTTAACAGTAGAAACAGTAATTTGTAACTGTACCGTGCACAATGTGTCTGCAGTGTTTTGTTGAACTTTTGTTCTACGATTTTTGCTTCTTGCTCTCTGATGTTGCTACAAATGGGTATTTGTTTAGTAATAAATCTTTTTCTTACCTTAGTGTAATGTATACGTATAGTGTTGGATAAATTGTTGATTTTAGAGATACAAAGTAAAGAGAGATTTTAAATTCGATATCAGTTCCTCTTTCTATCAGAATTATGCAACTTCAAGTCCTGCGGGGATGTTATGACGTCCTAAAGTCAGAATGGTTCCTTTGAGGGAAAGAAACAGAGCTATACAAGTTATCTAGCAAGATCTCGGAATCATCTTGGAATCTCGGATCAGCGGAATCACTCCGGCTTAAAGACGTCATAATACGCCACCTAATTATAGTAGGTTAGAAATTAGTAATGAATAATGATTGACTTTATGCTTTCAAGTACTTACGATTTAATAAAATAAAAGAAAGCAAGGACCTTGAGAACAGTTTTACAGTAGGTATGGCACGGCCTGCCTTAATATCAAGAAGCTCATTGGTGACAAACGCCGATAAATAAAAATCATGAAATGTTATCACAATATCTTTTAATAATTCATTAAAAATTAATCATAAATATTAATCTTAATATTTAATTAGAGATGTTCACAAAACATTGCATTCCGGTTTAACAATCATATTTTATTTATTTCATTTTTATTGTAAAATGGCACGATAATCGTGAGACATTCGGAATGTTTGTAAAATCACATTTTTTACATTATAACAATAAATATTTTACATATTAAAAGGTAACATTTAAGTTTATTTTTACTCCTGCGAGGATTAAATTTAATATTCTTCTACTATAAATAAATTCGATATTATAGCATAAAATTTCAATTTATTTTTCGATTAAAAACCAAAATTCCTGTAGGTAAATGGTTTTTCATCTTTATATTTTCGCAGCGTAAAAATGTGAAACTAAATTACCTAATATTAAATGCTGTGTGGTCTAAGTACGTATTTGAAAAAATATTAGTATTCTATTAATACATATTTCTTAGTACTACATGTAGTACTTAAGTTCAGTGCCTTAAGGTAATTTTTTAATTAGCTCAACGGGGTTAAGAATATTAAGGGGTTGAGAAGGCCCATGGACAGTATGAAACACTAGTATCGAATTCCTTACAATAAGAATGTATTTGAATAGGCATCTCCATGAGATTTTAATCAATAACATTTTAAGGCACCAAACAATTTATTTTTCCACCAAAATTTCAACACATCGAAAGCTTTAAAAGCATATATCCTTAATCTTATTCACAGCACTCATCATCAATAGGTGCTTTTATGCAGAGCAAAATCGCAATATCGCGTTATCATGCTCTGAAATTCAGTATAGCAATATAATACACAAGTACATTGGAATAGAGTCCAAAATAGACTTAACTGCAAACAAGTTTGGGAGAGGAGTTAGAACAAGTTGGTTACAAAAATATTGCAAAGAGCCTTAATGAAGTGCAGTTGCTGACCAAGGTACAATCGACCAAATATTTGGTAACAATTTCCTTTTTTTATATTCCAGTAACAATTACTGGAATGAATGGTCAATATTTATACACTATTAGAAATTATACTTTTATCATCATTAAATGATGATCATCATCAAAATCTTGATTGCCAACCTCAAAGTTCGATACTATATCGAAATTTTCTAAATAATTTAACATAACGTCAGAGATAAGGCAATATTTTTTTAATGGTAGAACTTATTTGCTTGAATTGAAACAGGATCAACTATAAAGGAATTAATAGACGAAACACGTCAGGTAAAACTGAAAAGCGGGAGTTTACAACTCCGAGAAAAAATCCCGCAACTCGTCCGTAGGAGTTACGAGTAGGTGAACACAAAACTATTTGGTCGACTGTACCGAACTGTCCGGGCCGTTCTAAACAAGGAAAAATAATAGCCAACCCCTGTTCCAGTTACCAGTTACCGAGGAGTACAAAAACTTTTCTAACTAGTGACGAGTTACAATTCATTTATAAAATGTTTGGCTTGGAACTTATTGTTGCTCTAGTGCGGTTCCCACATGCTATGCGACTCGGTTTTAAACAAATATAAACTTTAAATATAGGCATTTTAAAGCACTATGTTGCGTCTCATTTAATAAGGTAACATATTTTATGATTGATAGCTGAGTTATTGGCAATTAATTACGTTACATACGATGATGTTGTAACAATACCGAGTAGCGTGTTGTGACTGCACTAATTTCAATCTTTGTTCCTATTTAAAAAAAAGTATGCCGCCACCGTTACCATTCATTCGGTTTTCGGATTCATACAATAAGTAATGTAAGAGATTCCTTAAACATTCAACTGTTATTCAAGCATAAATTCGTTTTTATATCCCTGTTAATACTTACAAGCTGCTTAAAAACTTGATACAGTTTACAAGAACTAACATTACTGTAACTTATATTAGGTTTTGTACTTGTTCTGTTATGTAGATGTTTGTTGTATATATAAAGGCACTTTTTGATCCTTATAATAAATGTTTCATGTAATAAATAACAGTGTATACTATAAACTACTTAAGTATCATGTTATTAGTTAACGCAGGCACTTCTCACTCTTCTAGTTTTATCCATCACATTTAAACTGCTAAGTAGATGCTCCATCTTATATTGTTGGCACATAATACTCAAACAAACTTAATACGAAAACTTACATAAAATTATAGATCATAATCTTCTATTACAATTACAACTGGGCTAAAACAAATGGAAGTCCATTCACAGTAGAAGCAAAATATTTCTATAATTTGAAACCTAAACGTTCGAGAACCGTCGAGAAACTTTTCTAGAAGTGCTAAAGTGAATTCTTTGGTCTATAGCTCTCGCTATAACAGTTACAACTACGATATAATACAAAGAAGACAGGCACGACAAATTAAGTTTTCTGCGGAATGTCGCCACGTAGCGCGGACGGAGAATTAAGTACTGCATAACATTAAAGTACTATGTATAACGAACAACTTAAAGTGTACAGAATTAAATAACTTACAAAATACTTATACTTTAGAAACAATGTACTTTGTCACAAGGTAATCTTAACTCTGGCCATGTGGTCCTCATCTTTTTCATACACTACTTTATTTGGAGAATACAGCCTCTCCTGTATCGCCGCAAACGACTGTCCTTTAGTTTCAGGCAGCTGCAACAATATAAATATAACACCGAGCACTGACAACGCCCCGAACCCCCAGAAGGCGACATAGTTCCCTAAATTATCCGCCACCACTTGATACAACTTCGTTACCGCGAACGTCATTAACGCCGCAAATATCTGGATAACACAAGTCGCCTTTGATTTAATGTTTGTGGGGAATATTTCCGAAGTGATAGCGAAGGGCACCGTGGCTAAACCTATAGTGTACGAGAATATAAATATGGGTATCACAACGATAGGAATGAACTTTATACTGACGAGGTACTCGCTGTTCTGGTGTTTCATGAAGAAGTACGCTCCGATGATGACGTTGGCTAGTCCAACGCCACACGACGAAATTAATAGAAGAGGTTTCCTTCCCAGCCTGTCCACCAGTTGCGACGACATGGCTGATGTCAGGAGTTGAACAGTTCCAAACAATATGCAGGATTCTTCAGCTCCCAAGCCTCCCTCAGCTGCTCCAAATATCTGCTGTGCGTATGATATGATCGCAGTGCTGCCGCAGAATTGTTGCGTGAAGTATATGCCCATCAGAATGATGAGGCCTTTCCTGTTCCCTCCTACATAGAACAGGTCTTTCCATCGACCCTTCTCTTTCATGTTCTCTGAGACAAGATTGTTCATACTTTCTAATTCTTCTCTGACGTAGCTGCGACCTCTGAGCTTCTTGAGTGAGGCTTCTGCTTCTTGCTTCTGACCATGTTTGATGTAGTAGTACGGTGACTCTGGCATAGTGCTGAAGGTCACCACGAATAGGATCGGGATAGCGATGTTGAAGCTGGCCAGACCCAACATGGACACGTACGGTCCGATGCAATACTGAGACAGGATACCGAACTGGAATAAACGTTTAAAGTTTTAAATACATGATTTCAAATAAATGTTTCATAGAATAGCAAATCTTGTTTGAGAATAGTTAGTTGATTTTAATTAGAGTGACTTAATTATACCTTATCTCATTAATAAAACTAATTAATGAGATGAAACTAGTTGAATATTAAATTAATTAAGTACTACATTACAAATGCTTGTTTGTAAGGATTCTGCATACAAAGTGTCCTTAGTTCTTTGGTATACATCATAATTATAATTTCTATCAAGGTTGTTGAAACTTGTTTTAATAGTTCAGAATAAAAAAATATTTAGTTGATACAATCTCTGGTGTATTTTTATATGTCGTACTATCTCCAATAGTGAGTCATGCTTGCTTGAAAAAATGTGAAGATTGCAATTATGTACTTCGAGTTTCTGCGAAGTGAGTGCAATATTACCCACGCGATGTTTAGCAGATTCTCAGCGTTTTATTATACAACACATGCAAATTACTGGCGAAAATATAACAATTTGTTAAGGAAATGGTAAAGTCGTCGATGGACGAGTTTTAACAGTAAATATTATTTGGACGATGACGTTGGGTGTTAATAGACTGATAGCAAAGTCCATGTAGATTTTTTGTGAATGTGTACAATGTGAGGTGAGCATTAGTTGCAAATTCTATTTGATATCACCATAACTGATTAACGGTTAGATGACGATGTGTTAAAGTCATTATCTAAACAAAATTACTCATCTGTCACCAGACATAGACGTCACAATAAAATTTGTGTTACGATGACTTAATTACTCATTCATACACTTGAAAATTATGACCGTAATTTGGGTGGCAGACTGACCTTCGACATGACAGTGATGAGTGTTGCCATGGCGCCTCTGACGTCATCGGAGGCGATTTCGCCAAGGTACATAGGCGCGGTGGTGTAGGCTATGCCGTACCCGAGGCCTGAGATGAGACGGGAGGCGTATATCGTGGGTACATTGCCTGCAAACATCACCAGTATCCACCCAATGATGTAAGGAACCGAAGCCAGGAGTAACGTCTTCTTGGTTCCGATCCTGTCTGCGAGGTACGCCGCAGGAATAGGGCTCGCGGCTGGAATGAGAAAACCATACAATGATGTAAGCGGAACATAATGACTCATGGATTTGTTTGTCGGTCTTGACCTAGCTCTTGTAGTTGATAGTGCCCGTGGTTTCAGTAAAAAATATTTTTAAAATAATTATTTTTATATCATCGATTTCTGTAATAAAGATTTTCCTTATATACCAAGGTTGTTTTTTTAAGCTACTTGTTGTATGACAACAAAATTGAAATTCATCTCACTGTCTTTGGAAACTTCTCAAATTTACACCACCACAAAATATAAAATTAAATTAATTTCTAAAGTACTTCAACAGGAATCAAGCTTCATTATGGACATCTGATCGACTTGTTGAGTCCGCACATTTTTATGTTATCCACAGTGTCAAATTTCTTAGGCCCCATCCTTTGGGTGAACCGAGCAAGAACGGAGAGGGACAGAGAATCGCGGTCATGTTGCGACATCGATTAATGTACCGACTAAATATGTAATGTCTTTGGGAGACTTTAATATATCGTGTGCTTAATTTAAAGTGAAACAATTTCCACTTAATCTTAGGGTTTTAACAAGGCAGTGCAAATAGTTAATTTAGGCATTACTGGCAATACAAGTTCGCCACTCACGTTGAGCAAGCGTGGTGATCAATGCTTATTTCTTCTCCGTGTAAGAAGTCTTTGCTCAGACAGTGGTGGGTCAGTAAAAATAGGCTCATAATGAGTGTTCGTATGTGCTAATAGTTACATAGCCCAGTTAGTGTAATCTGTGATCGTATTTGCGTGTAATAAGCATGACCTGATTTATTTCTAATAGAGTATTTGCAAATCACATGACTTCCAACTTTTCATTGATTGGGTCTAAAGTTCTCAGACAGAGAGTTCATTGTTAGCTGTAACTAGTAGCTACTGATCAAACAAGGAGTTATTGACCCGCTGCCGTTTGAACGAATTAGTCATTTCGTGATGTCAGCTAGATCCATGTCTCGAAGTGACTGAACTAAATATAAAAATAGGTTTGTCTATCTCATTAAAAGATTTTACATTGGTTTACAATTTCGGCCATAGGTACACAAAGCACCGTTAATTAGTTGGCGGCGCTACACATCGACACAACTATCATTTACACAATATACATGTGTGGGTAATTTCATATCAATAGATATGTATAGAAACAATCGTCTATCACACACATCTTGGTATTTAAAAATCATTTTTGTGTCGGTATACGCAATAATTTAGTAAATAAGTTTAAATAAAAACGAGGGTAAAGATAAAATTACTCATAACAAACTTTGAATAAATCGAAATCAAAAATAATGAACGATCGAGCTATACAATACCCATATAAATATAGTGCTTTCTCATTGTAATTTTATGTTACTGAATGATATAAAATATTTCGATGATCTCATCTACAGCGCGCTTGGCGCAATGGTTATCGCCTCCAATTGTCAAGTAAAGTGCCGCCGGATCGATTCCAACATTCACATGTTGTTTTAGAATTAATTTATCAAATATTTGAAATTTGAAATTAGAAACAATTAAATCTTTTCTTTTTTTTTCCTTTCCTATTGTTCTAAATCTTATGTTAATTTTAATAGTAAATACTTTAGATTTATTTATACCTATAATATCTTTTATTTATATTTTAGTTCTAGTTATTTATTATTTAGAATAATCTCATTTGCTTCATGCATTTCAACCAACTTAAATAAGATAAAAACAGTAAAAAAGTAATTAACTGTGATTTCTTAATGGTTCGATACCTGAGTATATTTGCAATGTTTGTGGCGACCATAGAAATCTCGAGTCATTTTATTTTACACGCTTATGAAGTAACTACCGACTATTTAAAACATGTTTTTCAAATCACCCGACTTACAAAATAATTGCGTTCTTAGTTGTCAATTTATGAGGATTTCATAGTTTATTGCTACACTACTTATATTCGTGTGCAAAGTTATTTTTATTTTTACAAGATGTTCCAACACCTATCAACATTTAAAAAGGCTGAAACCATTGTTTTGCATGAGCAAAACATAACTAACAATAACTGAAATAGCAAGGCGTTTAATGATATCGGTGAGTAAATAAGATACTACGTTGTTATTCTAAATAATATTTATTTCATTTTGTAACTCGACACACCTATCAATTTTTGCACTAGAATAAAATAATTATTGCAACTTATTATGAAGTTCAATATTATAAAGATATATTAATAATTTATTATTAATTGTATTGTAACTTGACTTGTTTTTGTTAGGAGTGTTTCTTTAAAACATATCTGGTTAGGGATTTTTATTCCTTACGCCACTACTTAATTATAAATTATTATTCTAACATTGTGTTTACTTATATTTATTATTATTTTTAAGTAACTTTAATTCCTGTAAAGTATTTCCTGGTATTTTAAATACTTATTTTTTGGTATCAACAGAGGAGATCCATGCAGTTATGGGTGCACAGATATGCGGAGACCGGTGACGTTAAACATCGTCGACGTGGGCCTAAACCAAAGGCAAATTCATCGGCTCGGCACTACGACATCGTAGCCAGGCACATGGCTGATCCGTTCCTGCCAACCCGCACTACAGCGACAGCACTGAATGTTTTAATACAAACTGTACGGAGACACCTGCATTCTGGTTTAAGGTGCAGGAAGCCAGAGAAGAAAACATTGTTATCTGTGGTTCACCAGCAAAAGCGCTAAGAATTTGCTAAGGACTTTATTAATTTTGATTGGGCGAACAGTGTAATCATATTGAGCGACGAAAAGACTTTCAAGTCGGATAAGGATGGGCGTAAAATATTGTGAAGAAAAGATGGAGAAAGGTATACGAATTGCAACCTTCTGCCTTGTAGGATCAGTGATTGTATTGATTTCGGAATCAATTATTGAGCCTGTCAAACTCTGCCTTTATTAAAATTAACATAAAATAATGTTTAATTTTTTTAAGAATATTAAAATGCTGTCTAGAACATACGGTGAAGTGATGTTATTGTTTTGTGGTTAGAAATTGTCATAATTTCTTTCTATTCAACATGTTTATTCACTTCACTTTAATTTTTCATTAACAAATTTATTTAACTGCTTTCGAACTTGATTGACATATTATATTTACGCCCATCTTCAATTAATTTAAAGTTTCCCTGATTCTAAAGGTCATGAAAGTTAAAATCGTTCCATAGCATTCGTCACATTCTTTTTACTATCATACAGCCCACTGAATATTGAACCTTATAACAACCGTCGTAAAATAGATAATTAATGGAAGTTCAAACGACAAAAAGTCGCCCATTTCAAGAAATATGTTGACATGTAATTTTTTACATGTTTTACTTGTTTATTACTGTAAAACTGTAATTTAATAATACATTATATTATTAAATTACAAAACAAGAATGTTGTATATTTGTTTATTACCTACTTAATAAAAAATGTTGCTGCCATCGTATTACCGCTGTACCGCATGATATTTCCCGATTCGACTATGAGGTTTATTGTCATATCTATTAATTATGATTTAAAGAACTTTAAACTTAACATGTGGTATATAATTAATTATTAGATATAAATATTGAATATAAAACAACATATTTGTATAATAAATAAATTAATTGTAATAAAAAATAGTATTGTTTTATTTACCAACTCATTTGCTTCTTTTATAGCCTGATATTTATATTTTATGACAAAAAACAAAAAAAAAAATAAGAAAAATAACAAGGTAAAATAAAATTAACTTTTAGCTGGAATAGAACCCACATCATTGATCCTTGAAAGACGATAAAAGCGTGGTCATTAACCAATCGACCACGAGCACTACGATAATGACAGTGAAAATGTCGGGTCATATCAATGATTGTAAATAGTTTTAACCTTACCTATGCATTAAATTATAAAAATACGTATACCGACACAAGAATGAAAATACCAATGTGAACGTGGTGGACGAATATTTTTATATACAGTTATATGAAATTACGCACACATGTACACTGTGTAAATGACAGTTGTGTCGATGTGTAGCGCTGCAACTAATTAGCGGTGCTTTGTGTACCTGTTTAAAACTTGTGTAAAGTAAAAAGTTTCTATTTATTACATTGACCTTTTCATAGTTACATGAAACATACATTATTCGTTCGTAGCTAAGATTTTTAAATTATTGAACACAAGAGCATAATATATTTACCTGAACATAATATCATAATCGAGGCGATCCATGAGCTCTGATCTGGTGACGTCGCTATGGGTGAGTCTGGGGCTAGCAGGATGGGTAGAGTTGGTGATGTCCAACCCACGGTTGTGCCAGCCGCCGCCGTGATCAAAGTAGCTGGAAAATTTGAATTAGGAAGTTAATATACTTACGTTCTAATTTTAAAATACGCTGCTATAAAAAAATATAAAAAAGTAAGATGTATGAAAGTGACTGGCCATATTATTTATATTAAATATCGAAATGTATCGAATTAACAACCTTATGAACTATATCATACAAAGGACCTTTGCTCAGAGTGGACGAGTAATCCAATTGATGACGGTGCTGGTGATTTTTAAGTGTGTTTATGCATAAAACAAAAATACATACACATAATATAACATGTATGTCAGAGAAATGTAATATCTCTATATTAACTTATCGATTTATAGTTTACGACTATGTAAAATAATAGCATCGTAAATACACTAAACATACATTTCGGTTAGATCGATATAAATGTTTTGCTCTGATAAAGCTTATCTATTAAGGAAAAAGGTGTGTAACAAATAGGTACTAAGGCATACTAATACCAATTAATGTAATAATTACCCTAAGTTATTTTTGCCTTCACATAGGTAATACGTAACGCTAATCGTAAATATACCATGGCACATAAACGTCCATGGAACATGGTACAGTAAAGCCCTGGCTTCACAGAAATATTCTCTCTCTTCTTTATTATATCTATGCCTGGCTTACACAAGCGTGGATTCTTTTAGAAGTATAAAAGACCTAATGAAATACTACGATACATAAAATGTAATTATGACAGTCTATATTTAACTTTTCTATTTGCTATTGACTAAAGACATAGCATCAAGATTTTTCTAAATAATTGTGATATGTTTAATTTTTCCCACTGAAATCTTAACATTCATCTAAATCTGGTTAACACTAGTTGAACCCAACCTAGTTGGGAAAAAGCCAGGACAGAGAAAGACGATAGAAGGTGTTGTGAACCGGACTAAAATAAAACTTGATCGACAATAATTACCCTTACAGCTACGAACATAAAAGCGCTATTAGAACATTGTCATCAAAGAAAATGTAAACAAAACGTAAAAATAGTAACATTTTTCTCTAGAATGTTCTTTATGCGAAATTCTGAATGGCTGCCAATTAGGATCTTGAACTACCTGAATGAATTTTCTATTTTATTTAATACACTTTTCTAAAAGAAAGGTCCCGCAAACCTGAAATAAAAATTACGTTCTTGGCCGTGGTTAATTAGTTAACCTCGGGCTCCTACTTGCTGGATGATTAATTATCTTTTCTTATTAGGCTTCCCAGTTTTACCATTAATCATATTTCTATGTTAACCTGAAATTCTCGATACTAACGGACTCGGGACTACGTTACTGTGGAATTTTACGCTCATTGATACCTATGCAATTATTTTTTCTAATACAATTTCGAAATTTGCCGTCATTCAATTTTCTATTCAATTCTTTAATACAAAATGTAGCAGAAAATTGTGTTGGTGATAGTCAAATTATAGACAGCTTTTTCTGTTATTTATAATTTTAATGATTATTTTTCTCTTATAATCTTTATCAATATTAATTTCGAAGCTGTGCCATATTGTGCTTATCAATTGATGATACACTTCAATGCAGAACTCAATAAGTTACGAACGCAATACTTTTCATCGTGTGGAATAAAATCTTCGTCGATGCTCATTTTGGAACGAGGTGAAGGCAGTATTTACGGAACCAAACTACGCGGTATTCTTAGGAGACCCAATACAGGTCTCTTTAACCGACTTCAAAAAGTAAGGAGGTTCTCCGTATATGTGTATGTTTGTCCGCGATTGTCTCGTGACTGGCTGATCCGATTTTGATGCGGATTTCAGAAAAGTGTTTGTAACACTTAGGAGAAGGATTTAGTAAATTAATTAAATAACTTAAAAAAAGAGGAGGTTCAAGTCGGTTTTTTTAAACGTAGTGAATAAAAGAATTATTAGATTTATATTATAGTAAGCATAATTTTGTTTTTTACGCTGAAGAAATCTACCTACTTGAAGTTTCTGAAAAGTCAAAGGAAGAACTATTCTCATTTGCAATTTAATAATCAGCATACGATGTTTATATCACGTACAACTTATTATTATAGAAAACAATGAACTGATAGTAAGTCCGTGTCTTCTTATAACCATTCAGATACAAAAACAGACAGAACGTTTAGATACGCCATTATTCGATGTGTTTTCCTACAACTATGGTTTTGTTATCTATTCATAAAACGGTGTTCCTGCATTGGAAGTACGACATATGGTTTTTTCCCGCATTGTTAATATGTTGAATATATTGTCGTGCTGCATAATCTTTCGTAACTGTATTTATCGGAATATATATGGAATATGTTGATAAAGGGGGAATATGTTGCTCAAATTCTGGGAAAAATATTTTAAGCTGTTGAGTCCAGTTTAAAATTCAGTTTTTTAAATGTTATTTGGATGAATGTAGGTTCGTATGTTGTTCGTTTTGATTTAAACCTTTCAAATTGTAATCTCCAACTCGCTTGCCGAGGGTCAAAGATGTGGGAAATCCTCTTAAGTAGAGGAAGTTTATAGCAGTCCAGCCATGGAGTCCATCATCGGAGATCGCAAGACGATGTCCGGCCACCGTAAGCACGGAGCACGGTTAACTCGCCGCCCGACCAGAACCAGGCCCGAGCGTACGGCGCGTAGCGTTCTACGCGCGCCTCGAGGAGCCATCAGACCACCACAGATGGGGCCCAACAGGGCTGATGCCGATACGAAGCCGCGGAAGACTTAAGGGGTTGCCGGGACTCCAGCGCGAAGTGCAGGAGTAGGAACGGGGTGATTTTTAGTCAGTAAGAGTCTGACCCTCCCTCTCGCCCAGACCCGGGCGGGAGAAGTCATTGAATCATTTCAAATAAAAAGCCATGGAGTCCATGGCATAGATTGCCAAACGCTGTTGAAAATTATGATGTCCAGTGTCTGGGAGAAGATGCCTGAAGTAATATTGAGTCTATTAGAAAATGAAAACAAAGATTTGAATATAGACTGTAGAATAATACAGCGCCAGTGTTAACAATATGGTAACAATCTCCTTTGAGCTATTGAGCAATAGAAATTGTAAATAATGATCTATAGAAATAATAGAAAATTAATTCTAGTTTGTATAATGAATTGAAGGAAGGAATTCAGTGTATCTGAGAGTTTTTTAATTAGTGCTTTTCGTTCGTAGTTCTATAAGAAAGAACAATAATTGGAAGCTTTGCATTTTTTCAGCAAATTAATTTGAAATATTTCGAATGAGTTTTTCCAGAATATTAAATACACACTGGCAAGACGAACAATTAAAGTATTTTAGGTAGAATAACTTATCGCCTAATTTAATCTTAAGATGCAGTTTTATTTGTAAATTGTTTAATTAAACCAGATTAAGAAAACATTGATAAATTATATCTAAGAAAAAACAACAACAAAAAGCAATTAGCCTTTAAGATATTAATTCGAAAAAACTATCATGCTATTTAAAAATCGAATCAAACTAATTTGATCTTAAACACGAGTAAAGAAAGAAGATATTTGTTTACAAACATAAATAGAAATCTGGATTTCTAAATATAAATACTTGTATGCTAGTACAGGTTGATTCTAAAAATAATGTTGCCACGTAATTTCTTCAGCCATAACTAGCATTGGGAATGGTGCAGTGTCTATTAACTCGTCTATTAACGAAAACCCGGTGGAAAATTGGAAAATACAGCACCGAGTATTTTTGAAACGTTTAAAGAGATAATTGAAGCTGTGGTTTATCAAAGAATCTCTCTGTGATACAGGTTTCACCTACAATAGACACCAGTCTCAGGTTTAATTGTAAAACGTTTGCTGTATATATTATGTAAATGATGATGAGAGAAATAAATAAATGTTACTATTATTATTTAAAAAAAAGATGCCTGTGGTTAGTTGGCAACATTGATGATTATTGTTTTTTTTTATTTATAACAAACAAGTAAGCTTGTAAGTATAAAAATTGTATTATGGTAAAACATGACTGGCAATTTTTTTTTGCATAGTTAACGTCTTTTTTTGTTAGAACATCTCTCAACTATGACTATGAGTGATATAACAGTAGATAAAAAATGTTTTTTGTGAACGTGTAGATACCTACTTGGTTGAGAATGGCTGGTTTGGTTTGACTGCCTTGTTCGTCGAGTGACCGCAAGTGCGACTGCCGCGCAAAGGTTCGATTCCTGGGTCGAGTAAAGTATTACTGAGATTAAAATCTCAGTAATGAGCATGGAGTCTAAAAATGTGTATTACTTGGGATTCATAACATAAATAGTGAAAAGTGGGTGTTACCTCTGTGTGCACCTACCTACTCTACCTGCCTACTCCTTCGGGGATAAAAAGCGTGATGTTATGTTATGTTATGTTTGGTTGTGTTTGCTATTTTGAGCCAAGCCAATTAAGCCAAGTTTCTGTGACAGATAAACATGGAAATATCTAAACATGGATATCGTCGGAAAAAGCCAAAATGAAGCGGGCCACTAGTTTTATCGTAAGTTTTATTATTCAGCTATTTTTGTGACGTAGTTCATTAAATGGCGAACATTTTTATTCAAAGATATAAATCAGTAATTTTAACATAAAAGGAAAAACAATGAAGTGTTATAGTGATTCAAGTTTTGTAATAATATTTTTCCACTGAACACAAAAGTCGATCCATTAATTAATTTTTTTTTTGCCCTCGTAGTACAAGAGTTGCCACTGACGAGCTGTTATCAAGGTAGCTTTGGTCATCTGTTCAGGTAACTATGAGAATATATTACAATACAATAAAGAAATTTTAGATGGCCTAGGATTGAAAACAAGATCCAAACCTTTGCAAAGTTGCGGAGAACCTAACGGGTAACCGGGGCTCTGGCTCGAAGTGCAGGAGAAGGAACGGGATGGTTTTTAGTCAGCAAGAGTCTGACACTCCCTCCCGCCTCACCCAGGCGGGAGCAATTATTCGATGATTTGCTCCCTTTAAAAAAAAATCCTTAGCAAATCCACTTTATCATAACCAGATACGACAGAAACGCAGTAGTTTCTA